AACAAAATTCTTTCTCTATATCTGTCTCTTATGGGTGGATGGATATATTCGGTGTAAACACCAAGGATAACCCACAAAAGTCGGAAGAATACTTGTTTCCAGTGAGGTCCTTCTGGTGGTGATTGGGCACTACACCGGCAGTGGCCTAACGAAGGACCCGGGGCTATGTGGTTTTCTGAGACTAGGGTCCCCTTTTTGATCCGGTCACCACTTTGATTGTGGAAATTTAAATTTGCTCGTTTTTCTAATATTTGGCATTGTATTGTAGATTGCTTTTAACAAGGAAATAAATTATATATTAGTTGCAGATTTAGGTATTCAAAATAGAGGGAATGTGGGTAGGGAGGGACTTTCACACACCTATGCCACCTCAGCCCCAGCATGGTTGGGGCTAAGGTACGATCATTTATGAATACGGCACCTCAAAGTGGCCGGAATTGAATTGGCACTCATAGATTTAAAATACGAGTATAATTTCCATTTTTAAAACAATTGGAAAATTTAAGGGGCCCCCAGGGGCCCCCATTAAACCTTCACGGGATATACTATGATATATGTCTTACAGTCGATCTCAGAGACACATTATGCTGTTATGTATCAACAAAGCCCTTTTGGGTAAGGATGCCCGAGCGAGGACCCTATGGGTTGGGGCACCTTTGGGGCCCTAGGTGACGGGGGCCCTACAAACCGCCGCATAAAGCGCATAGTCGTTACACCACTGTACATCGGGAAACAATTTCCTACTCATTTTCAATTAGTATACTGCGTTCTTTAACGTGCACACAGGCCATAATGCACACGGAACCAACAGGTTAAATGTCTCATATCCGAAAGACGGTGCGCTATCGTAACTTGCATTTCAGCCCTCCAACTGAAATACAAGGAAGAGCAGTGATGGGAATTCAATACACTACCTCATTCCTAAAGCCCCTTCAAATTTCCATCTTAGAAAACTTAGAGAATTTATCCTCCAAAAGGCTGGAAAGGACTCCCTGTACAGGCGAATGCTTTGTTCATTTTTAACTCAGTAATTAAAATAACTATAATAATCTCACTACAATAATTATAATTACAATAATAATAATAATAATAATAATAATAATAATAATAATAATAATAATAATTTTAATATTGGTTGCCATTTTGCCCTTTAAACCTGTTTCCTTTTGCTGTTATTGTGATGTGGGTCTATTTGTAGAAAAATGTTTAAATGTTGATTGTTTAGATTTTTCTGCTTGAACCCTTTACTTTTGTAAAATTCAACCCATTTTGAGTGATGAATAAAGAATGATTTGATTTTATTTGAATCGGAGACCTAGAGATCCCCACATTTTAACGCACGCAGAGGCTACCACCAGTTTAGGCAACTGAGAAGCTGCTACCTGGTTATAAAGTTATAAGGTACCATTTCCATATTTAATAATAGGCTCTATTACAGTAACACTACTAAAATTCAGAGACGGACAAAAATTTACTTTCCCCATAATATATTGTACAGTAAGCCTACGACTTCTGGATCACTTTTTCTTCAGGTCATCTAATAGGCTTGAAAATATCAATATTAAGACGTTTGAGTAACAAAATTCATTGATTGTTTTTAATAAAGTGTTACTTTAGTACCAAAAAATATCATCCGAATATCTGAATTATTAGTAGGCCTTTAATGTATACATTATTTTAATCGATTTCAACATGCTGTGTATAATATTTAATAGGCCTACTATGATGGATAACTATGTATTTTATTCTTTATTTACTGACATATTTAAAGTCGGAGGCGGACTTTAAGGTGGGTAGTTATGCAGCCGTCCGAGGCTCATACATTTAAAAAAAAAATTAAAAGAAAATATTTTGTCAAAAGCGGTTGTATTATTAGATTGCTCGGTAGTAGTAAGTAGGGGCCCATCGCCTTTCAGGGACTCATTTGGACATGGAGGAAGTAAGCGTTTCCCTCGAAAGCACACAGGCATTACATAACTGGTCAAACCTCCATAGTGGGGCATCCAGGGGTATAGTTTAAAGAACCCCTTCTAATAAATCTGCCAAATAATGTGTTTGTGGGATTTTGGTCTATTTGGTTTTTTCGGAAATTATTGAAAATGTTACGTATTGTAAGGCGTTGTAGGAGAGTGCTGAGTATCAGTGTTACCGTAAGTAAAAGTATCTAACCCTCTCCAGGGCCCATTTGGACTCGGACTTCACCCAGAAAGCACATGCGTTACTTAAGGCTTGGTAGTAATGTGTTAGGTAGTAGTAGGAGCGCACCCCTCCCCCTCACCCCGAGAGCTCACATCCGAGAGCTCACGAGTTACGCAAATGGGTCCCGTTTTTTTTTTTTTAATATGATATGCCATAATTGGACTTTATGGGACAATACATGAAACACTACCGTTTCTGGTGTATAGACTGCAGTACATTATTCATCATTGGAAGAGCTTTTCAACGATACCAAACACGACTACTTTTTGGTGAGTTTATATAGGCCTACTTATTCTTATTTTATACACATTTTAAGTATATTTTGCGGATATTTTAAAACAAATAAACACCTATTTTTGAATTATGTTCCATTCTGGCATGACAGTAGTTTTTATATGTCTGGTTTGTTGCCTGTATAGAAATTATGATTTTAGACAACAACATAATATCTGTAGCTTATTTAGTTCCAATTATTTTAGATAAATTTGGCGGCCATTTTGAAAAATGGCCGCCATTTGTATACCAGGTGAAAAATCAAGTGTCAACAGGGCTTTGGGTGACCAGGACGGATTAATTAGGATATCTGGCTATGTTGACTGCTTCTAACATTCCACTCCCCCTAACTTGATTTCTAGGCCTCTTTTTTGATTTATTTTCCCTAGTCTATGATTTGGAACAGCGTGATCATTTCACCTTCACTCTTGTGAGTGCCGAAAATGTTTTTGCACTAAAATTCCTCTTCACCGTTTATCAATATGATAAAGGAAATTTCTGTGTCTGACAAATGACAATAAAGTACAGTACCGGTACTTTATATCTGAATCTATTAGTTGAACATTGTTGCAAGCAGCAACTTTTATGGAATTATCTGTTGCTCAACATCCCCTGTGCTGTCACCGCAGTTTCCAGTGCAAGTACCAGTTGGGGCTCTTCGCCCTATCCAAAAAAGCACAATTTGTAGGGAAAAAAGTTGATATGAAATTTTTACAGATTAAGACTGAAATCGAATAAGCATTCCAATTTTCTAAAATTGAAACGCCGGGGGCTTATCACCTGGACCCTTTTGAGGTGTTGTGAATACCCCCTGGCCCTGCCACCAGGGGTGGTGCTGGGGGGGGGGAGATCCTCTCCCCCGTTGAGAAGAGTTCCCCCATTTTCTTATTTTATTTTATTTCCTTTTTTTCTTTTTTCCAGGTAACATACCATGAATCAGTATACAGATATGGAAAAGGAGAATTTCAGAAGCAAAAGCTTTTAAAGATGGAAAACCCCTAATTATCTGGGGAGGATGTAGGATTTAGCGTAGAGGAAGGGGGAGGGGGAGGTGGATTTTGAGTATAATAGAACCAGAACCAGTGGCGGTGCTACGGGGGGGGGGGGACTCACAGGTACTCACAGTAGAGAAAAAAAATTATGTATTTTCTACATATAAGTACACTATCTATAGGCCTATATAAAATCTATTAAACTCTGAAACCCCTAAATTGTCATCATTTTCGGGACCACCGGACCACTTTCAAAACGTTTTAATCAACGCCCGACCACGCCCACTTTGTTCTCGTCGGGGACATTCCCCCCACCCCACAAAAATTCGTACCTTGCCCCTTACATTCCCCCAGATGTCAGATGGCGGCGCTCTGGGCGCCGGAAATTGCACTCTCCTACCAAATTTTACCAATAATTCATCAACAATAAAATACAATTAATTTTCTAAATGCAATGTAGTGAGTTCGATCGCACCATTTACACCCCCTGCATCACCCCAGTACATATAAACATGAGCGGGTAAAGTTCTTAAGCAGTAAGTAAAACTGATCAATTTAAAGACAGGAAAAATTGTATGTTTTTACATTGAAATCGATTAGAAAGCCCTTTAAATCCATACATTGTCATAGTCTAAAGGGCCCGCGCTCCTGGATTTTGAGCGAACACCCTCACGTCGGAGACATCGGACACCCCTCCCCACCAACGTCGAACAAAGCATGGCGCCTCTACACCTGCTAACTTTAAGCAATGACAGGTTTTTGTGGTGAAATATGAACACAGAAACAATGTCACTGTCTTAGATTTTCCAGGCACTAACCGACGCCATGTTGGGAGGCCTAAGTGACGTATCATTTTAGAAAACTTTCTTTTTGCATTTGTTTAAATTATTGTTAAAAATAACGATTCTTGCAGAACTTTTAAATAATTTGAATTTAAAGTAATGATTATCATCATCTATCTACTTGATGTGACTTTTTAAGCAGTTTAAGAAATTATTTACGTTGTTATCTATTCCATAACGATAATAACAATTACTATCAAAAACCGTCTTCCTCAACAACTACTGAACTACGTTGATAAACACAACACAACATTTAGATCTTTCAACTTTGGAAATGCCACCCCAGTAATGGCTTCGACTAAAGAGTGTGCCGTTCAAAAAAGTTCTCTTGGATTCGTCTATAACGTGGTGTACCACAAGCATTAATTTGTTTCCAGTTAGCAACCTCTGTACTTCCCCACGCCGCAGTCAGCGCACAATATTAATAATCAATGCTAGATTATATGCCACTGGAAATTTATTATTGATTTGTTGATCAATTGTGTGTCAGTGGTAATATTTAGGATGTAACATAATGCTTCCTTAGCTTGCCATACAACAAAGGACCCGATTAAATTTAACCACCAGCTTCGCCAAAACAGCAATAGTTTATTATTTAAAAAAATGGCCTGGAATTTAGAAAAATTGTATTATAGACTACCAGTATTTTGAGAATTTTACTGCATGGGGAAACAAAAATCTGAAATTGTATGCCTTCACTTATGACGTGGTTTGTTTTAATCAATAAATCTACTGAGAAAAAAACTTGTGGAATTATAACAGCGAAAACGAATGCTCAAACCCTTAAGTATTGATATTCTCAAATTATTTTATCAAAGAATATCTATTATTATGATTCTAATAAAATATGATAATTTCATTCTTATCTATAATACAACAAAATTGTGCTTTATCAAAACAAAACAAAAAGAAAACAGCAGACAACCAGCAACCAAATTTCCAAGTACAAAGAGACCATTACATATTAAGTTTCAAACAAAATAATTAATTAAACAAATTGTTAAGACTGATCATTTAGAAATCATCTATTATTTCCATCATGTTCGCAAGAGTATAAAACATATTCTTTAGGAGGGTTGGACAAAGTTTACAGAATAGGCATATGTACTTTCTGTTTAATGAATATGATAAATTAATTTGATTGTGTAGTCTATCAGGGGGAGAGAGATCACAAAAACAATACTCCGATGAAAATAACGGATAACCTCCATTATTGATAATGACCTGGAAAACAACTACATTATCAAACAATGTTTATAATAATTGTCAATTTATATAGCGCATAATGTAATATACCTCTATGCGCTTAAATAATATATATTTTGCAAATGAAATAGGCAAAATATAAAAAACATCCTCAACTGTAGTAATTATTATTATTTATATAGCTTTTTAAACACGGTTTGGCTCAGCAAATTCCTTTCAGGTTGTGAACCTTGTTGCCGAGGGTTCAAGCTGACAATCCTCGGCTGGCCATGAGTTACCCCAGCTTGCACTGTTGAGAGGCTGTGAAGTGGCTTACGCCATGTTTCAGCCCTAGTCGCGAATATTTCATGAATTTTAAATTAATCAAATATTGTGGCCGCCTCTTGTCAATATTGACAGTAACATCAGGCCTGATATACCAAGAAAAAAACAGAAATTGAAAAAAAAAAATTAGAAAAATCCAATGACTGCTTTTAGAGAATTTATAATAATTATAAAAAAATAATCAGTTAAAATAAATGTTATCTAATTGCATGTGACCACGTATATGAACAGAGTGTTACAAGACATCCCCACGTTTTTGCTGGATCATCTATTTTGCAATTTAAACAATTGGAACTCATTTGATCATTTACTTGTGGTAATTACATAGCAATATTGCACCAAATATCAAAGAAAGGATATTACCCAACTGTAAAGAATATGAATTATTATATACACTATAAATGTATATAGAAAATAAGCCTTTAAATATTTGTATATAAAGGGAGACAAATATATAGGTAAAAAAAATGGGTATCCATTTTCTAGTCTAAGGTTTTTAGAACAATGTCAATCATATTAATGGTCTATTAAACTAAGACAATTTTTTTTACAATATACTGAAAACTGAAACAAATTTAACAGAGAAAAAGCATTAAACTTCATGTTTTATGTCTTCAGTATGATTATTATTCGTCATATTAAATAATAAATGATCAAATAAGCACACAATTATGATTACATGTCACTTCTATGGTAGCAAATAATGCAGGTAGCAGATAACAAAATGCAGGTAAATCAACTTGATGCAATAATTCACTGTGCAATGCAGTAAATAATATGCAATGGATTTGCAAGATACTGTACCATGCAAAACAGTGAACTAATATGGTACCAATACGATTGCAGCAGATTATTAGCAAGGTACCATGATATTACAGTAGATTAGCACGGTGCTATGTAATGTACGGTCATGGTACCATGAGCCATGCAATTTAGTGAATTAACAATGTACCATAAAATTCAGTGATCTTGCATGGTATTATGCAAATGCAGTGAATTAGCTTGGTCCCACGCAATTCAGTGATCTAGCATGATCATGCAGTGAAGTTGCATGGTACCACATAATTCAGTGGTGTACCATGGTATCATATAATGCAGTGGAGTAGACATGGTACCATGGAATGCTGTGAATTATAACATTGTATTAGCGCGTTATCTTGCAATACAATGGACACACTTAGTATCGGTACCATGTAATGTCAGTGTAAATGTATGGTATCTTTCAATGCCATTAATTTGCATGGTACAATAAATGGCAGTGGACTGGAATACCACATTATGTTTTCATTATGCAATCATTTTCTTCATTTTGATTGATATACTTTAAAGTGAAGCTTATATATATTAATTATAGATAGACTCATTACTCATTACCAGCCAGGTCACAGGTGATGGGCGCCAATCAGGCGAAGTAGGGAAGTGCGCACAGACTAGTCAGGCCAGAAAACTTCACACCAAACACGTCGGACATTGGCCACACTGACACTGAATAAGGCTTCTTGTCAGTACAAGTATAATCAAGTTCAATTGTTAGCGAATAAAAATAAATTTTGTACTTGATACCAACAATTTTTATTTTTCGGGGCCGACTAGCATGGCGAGAACCCTGTAAATAGTTACAATCCATGTTGCTTTGCTTTCACTCTCATTTATTACAACTTTACTATATAAGTAGAATTTTTTTTTTTTTCTTCGGGTCTACCTTCTATAATGCATAACAGAACCAATAACATCAACAATTATTCAGGGTATATGGATTACCCTCTTTAAACATATAACATTAATGCAGTTGTCTGATTAAAAAGCTTAGAAATATTCAATGCATATACTATCCTGGTACTTTATCAAGCACCATGATAGTACTAACATTGATAAATATGTTGTCTATTCATTTAAAAGCATTTCTGAATGCTAATACTGTAATAAAAAAAAAAATATATGATGCCTGTACTGAGATGCATACCTCCATCATAGGTAGGGTTTACCATAAGTTAGAAAAGTATGAAAACCAAGGTAGAGTGCATCATAAATAATTATTAATACCAGATTATCTGGAAATTTCTGTTTTTCAATATGCTGCTAATTATCATACACAACCCATGTTCTTAATCCGATTTACACTCATATACAGCAAAATCAGCTATCCAAATTACTGTGGCGAGGAAATCATCAATTAAAATATAGTTATAAACTTGCTAGCCTAAGTATTGCCATGCAAGCAAACCACACAATACCACGTAAATATGACAAAAAGATTTTACACAATTTTTACAGAGACATTAATATTTATAGCTAGCATTTCTTATGTACAAACAGGTAAACTGTTCAGTCTCCCACAGAATCAATCATGTTTTAACTATGAATAGATTACTTCAGTTTAACAGGTTTTTTTACTCTCTCTATTCACAAAAACGTCACTCAAACTACGAACTAACACAATTTTTGTGTTACTTTGTGAAATCATAAATTTCATTTTTCATTGCGCATAGATGTTGTAAAGGACATTTGCATCCATAATACTGTACAATACACTGTAACAACGACAGAGCGTACTGTTGCACGTTTATTTGTTTCACAAATTAACACAAACTATTTTTACTCTGTCTGTTCGTGGTGCGAGTAATAAAATATCCTGCTCCATTTTTCTCTGTCCTAATCATTTTTTTTTACAGTTACTAACATCCAGTCTAATTCACTGATGTCCTGCCAGTACTGTACTCATATCCAATTAAATGAAGCAATATTTATAACTGATTAAAAAAAAAAAAAGAAATATAAAATGAAAAACAATGGTTAATTGGTTTAAATTCATACATTTGCTACTATCAGCAACTATTTTGGATATAATAAGCTAAAGAAGATACGAAAAGCACAGATCTTGTGAGGCTGTCAGCTGCAAACCCATTCCAGTTCGGGAACCCTCTGTACGTGCTGTCACCAGTCCAAGAATCTAAACATCATCATTTTGTTACTTGCTTGATAATTCAGGCTCAATCGATCTTCACAGTTGAGTAGATTTTCCTTACAAAAGTATTTGTTCCGACGTATCCAAATGTGCCACACATGATTCCCAGTCCTATACTGAATATGGCCATGTAGCCAAAGTAGAACATTGTTTGAAATAAGCCATACATCCTGAAAGAATAGAAACAAAAATTAAATTTGAAACCTTTTATGTAAAACATTATTTTTGTAAATTACTGAAAATGGATTTCTATTTTTCTATCTTGGACTTTAAAGGTTTGTAACTTAAGTAGTTCTTCAAAGTTTGGCTAAGTAAAATTTTCCTGCTTCTTGTTCAAATCCAGTCAATGTGGGACTTTAATTGAAGCTGATCACTCGGCTCAAGGAATAACCAAGGGGCCCAGCCGCAATTCATAAATACAGTAACATCTCCCTATTACGAACCTCCCAATTACAAACTCTCGATTTTACAAACCTAATTTGCAGCGATGATGCAATTACGAACTACAAAAACACTTAAAATTACATTGAAAAGTCTTCAAAAATAAAATAAAATGTTACGTTATCTAAGAAAGGAAACATTTGAACATAAAACTAAATTGAAGCAAGAAATATCAATCGTTTCCAGCCAAGATATATTACATTTGAGTTGTGCATGCTTGTTTAGGTATACTGTATAGTAATTATCACTTTTTATTCATTGGGGGCGCTATTTGCATGGATTCGCGATCTTTATGTAATGAATTATAACACTAGTTTTGGCCATCATTTGGTCATGTTTTCATTTGAAAATCTCTTCTAATGAATACTTCACAGTGAGCACTGGTAATTTTGGCTTCTGTAAAGTATTATTTTGTTGCAGAAAACAGTAAAATCCAAGTCAATTTTTGTTACAAAATGTTGCTCCCACGGCAAGGCTTAGGCCTGCTAGCCCTCTATTTTGTAGTATATGCCTAGGCCTACCCTCACCAAAATGAGATGAAAATTCCAACTCTCTGAATACAAATTTTATTTATTTGATTGACAGATAAACTGACTAATCAGCGAGCGTCATTTAGTCACGTGATCAAAAACTTTTTCTCGGACATTTTAATTACCTTAAACAGCTGGTTTAAACGCAAAACATACATGAGCCTAGGCCTAGATGTCTAATGATTGGTTATAGATACCCAGATTTACATGAGCAGTGTGCTTCAGTGACTTGACCTTTGCTGACAACAAGGTTGACTGAATGCGGCTTTTCCCTATTTCTTTGGAAGCGAAATACAGAGGCTTTTACAACAATTTCCCCGCCATGTTCCATGAAATAGATTAACACTATACTATATATGATTCATCTGCATACCGCCTACCCTGAATTCTCTTTCTTAAAGAAGGTTGATAGCAAAGAAAATCTTGGCCAACTCGGTAAGTCTAGCCACCATTGTCTAAGGTTTTCGTGACTTGTGGCGGGGCTTCACGTCCTTGTCGACATGTCAATTATTACATAAGCCATTTAAAAAAAATTTTTATTATGTTCAGCTAGTATACTTACTTTGTTTTGAAGAAAAAATAGTAGAAGGAATAAATATATACGTAGAGTGCTGTAGAGCCGGCTGCCAAAAAGCTTGTCCACTGCCATCTATAGTCCTCAGCATTGAGGAGGAAATAAGTGCAAACAATGGTAACACAGACAGTGACCACAATCAAGATGATGAACACAAGTAGCATGAAACCAAACACGTAATATATCTTGTAGGCCCAGAAGGATGTGAAGATGAAATACCTAAAAAATAAAACATCATCAAAATGTCACAAAAAAATATTAAATGTGAAGATCTACATAATGCCGTAGTGCATTTTGGAGAGTAGATAGCCGAGCGGTTAAGGCAGAGATACTGCAATGTACAGTCATTATATTTTAATGGCACATTCTCCTACGGTTCTGGTGGTGGAACAAGTCTTCTCGGATAAGGACTATAAACCATAGGCCCAGTGTATACAATTTGGCTCATGTGCACTTTAAAGGGCACAGGAAAAAAATTTTGAGACGAGTAGGGGTTACTCCGGTGATACAGCCCTGTTGTAGACAGATGAGGATATGGTACCAGCAGAGCTAGTCCAAACCTCAAGTGCTTTGATACTTCAGTATAAATATAAATTTGGTATAAATCTAAGTACATTTCATTAAAACCCATTAAATTGACCAATTCTTTATTTTTTATATAGATTTTTTTATTTTATTTAATAATTTAATATAAAAAAAAATGTATACATTTAGATCCAGATGATACTATTTAAGGCAAAGACAAGCCAAACCATTCACTGGTTGCAAAAATCAATTTTTAGTTATTAATACAGGGTTAAACAGTAAAGTGAGGGCTGTTAATGGTAAAAGAATAATTTAAATCCGACATTTCCTTAAGAAGTTACAAGCCTTTAAACATAGAGCTGTTTAAAGAACAATACTTGAGAAATCAGCCTTAAAAGCTTGTGATTTTGGGCATTTTTCAGGGAGAGACCTTCACCAAATTGTTAAAAATTGTTGTTTTAACAATTTGGAAATGGGGAAAATAACAGCATGGCATGATGTATAGATATATAAAGGTTAGTTTAGTGCAATTAAAATAGATTTAAAAAATGTTGACATTCCAGCCTGTTTTGGCCATTATCTCTGAAACACGAATTGCGACGAGTGACTGGTTTGGCTTGTCTTTGCCACATTTCCAAGATATCTATAGAACAAACCACGGCGGTATATGAACCTTTTTAATGGTTAACACTTACATTTCAATAAATATTGATCCGAAAGGCAGAACACCACCTAACATGACGATGACAAATGGTTCCATGAACCACTTCTTCTCAGGAATGGGCCTTGGCACTGCATTCACACGGCATGGATGGTTCGGCTGTCCTGCAATGGCACGACCAACTATGGTCCCCACCAGCGTAAGAGGCAAGATCACAAACAGGCAGATACAGGCTACAGCAATCTAGTCACAAAAATAAAAGACAGTGAAGAGATGTTTAACAATATTAGCAGAACCGAGAAAGGTATAGACCAACACCAAAAGCTAACTTGTAAACATATAACTATAAGCAATATGTTGCAGAATACTTTGTAAAAAGTGTCCAAGTACATTGTTCAGGACACTGCGTTAAAGTTATATTTTATTAACTATTACTCCAGACTGGCATACACCAGAAAAGATTATGTCGGAGCAAGATTGAATTGATAAATTCTACAGGCTTTGATATATAATCTACTCTAATTTTTCTGGGGTTTTTAATTTCAATGCTTTTTTGATACACTTTTCCATAGAATATTTGTTTATCAAGAGATTAATTTCAAGTGATATTTTGAATAGTTACTGATTATTTTTCAAATCAGAAGGTGTCACTTTTGAGAATTCAAGAGTAATCTTGACAGCCTTTAGAATGACAGACGTGTGGAAGCTGTTAATAAATTTGATTTTTTTTTGTAGAAGTGTGCGGCGCATCGTGTAAGGTATCGGAAGGTCGGGGTTTCGAGACCGATGTTCATCACACTGCTTGTGTCCATGGGCAAGGTAAGTAAGTAACTTTATTGATTCTCTTTTAATAACAGCAGGCACAATCGTAAAAGATGTACAACAATAACATAATCAGTAAGGCAAATGGGTACCTAGTAGAAGGTAAATGATTCGGAATGAAAATAGGAGGGCTGAACTACACGCATAAACTAGGAATACTCCCCAGGTAACGGAGGAGTTTGTACGTTGTTTGATTGATTTTGCATCCACTAACCGGGAAAAAAAGAGCTGTGAGGATTTTTCTGAATATGTGTGCTATATAAATCTTATAAAATGATAACAATATTGATCATACCATTGTACCAAATGGAATTGCCCTTGATGCATGGTAATAAATAGCTATGAAATTGATGAAAAAAGCATTGCCACACACAAGCAACGGCAGTAAGAATGCTGACATCACCATCTGCTTGATCCACACTTTACCTGCAAGAAATTATCATTCGCAAAAATATAAATCATCACATGTAAAGAATTGTGCAAAACATTAAAATCACAGATCTTAAGGTATTAACATTAGAGATGGTAGCAATTAGTAATCCATGAACTTAACCTTAAAAACAAATGCTTGATTTTTGTTCGTATCAGTGGTAATGCTAAGATATGTCCGACAAGGAGACTAAGTCGTTTGACAAGGGGGTCTATGATTTCTAGCGGTTACAAAAATGAAGCCCTGGTCAGGGTCCAGGGGCTTAACCCTCTGATGCCTAAAGAATCTTGGCAATGTTAAGCCATTTTACAGAGAAATGTTTTAGAATGTATAATATCTAAAATATTTGTTTAAAGCACACACTTGGCCTGTCCAACAGGGAACTTAAATCTCCTTCCTCCTCCACCTTCACCCCCCACCCCTAACTGGTGATGCCACTGGTTGGCAATTTAATAAATGGTAGATAAAAAAATATTTTAGTGATTAATACTCAAAAACATACAGTACCTGCCATTCTAGAGTACAGACTACCGCCAAAGTAACCATTTACTGGTGATGTAGCTGCATACACAAATATAGACGTCCCAAGTAGAGACCCTCGTCTACAAAAAACACAATCATCATATGAAGGATTTATAGAATTGGACCACATAGTGAAATTTCAAAATATATCTCTACCAATGCTTAAACTATATAAAACGGAAATAACAGAGATAATATTAAAAAAAAAAAAAAACATATTTATATAGTGCGACCCATTAAGCATCAGCTGATATTTAGGGGCACTTTTTATTAAATGAAATAATCTGACGCTTTATATAAGCCAAGTCCCATTATGAGTCTTCAGTAGTGGAGTATGTGTTTTAGCCGTAAGCTGTCACTGGATTTGAACTCAGGACCCTGTCATTGGAAGGCAAGCATCTTAACCACCAAGCTAGACCACCTCTACTTTGCATTACTAAATTAATTAAATTAAACAACACCATGTCTTGTGTATGCTTTATAACTGGTAATTACATGCACGGTAGCATTGGATAGGAAGTTAATTAAATTTCTTGCTATATTTGAACAATGAGAATTTACAATACAAGATACACAGATGCCTGTGGTACTGCATTATTTCATCATATAACATGTTACCGTCTGTTTGTTTGCCTTCTTTTGCATATTTATAGTGTGGTATAGTGCTAGTGGGTAAATATTGCTGTTTTTATCATAATCTACTTATTATGTCTGTTATGTAACTTACAAAAAGACGTGTCAATATTTTCATGTTTTGTAAAAAAGCGTTTAGAGGCATTGTTGGCATGAAGGGCTACTGTATACTGTAATTTAACTACAAATATCTCATGCAAAAAAATGTTTTCACAAATTTCGCAAGTAGCCAGGAATTGTGAAAGTTCCATGGCGCGAAACATTAAATAATCGATACAATTAAATATTTAACACTTTGAGCTTGAATCAGTTTCAAAGTAAGATTTTTTGGTCATTTCAAACAAACCAAAATTACTTCAAGATGATAATAAATGCAGAAATAAAACAGCAAGAATTGTCGGTATAAATTGGTATTTAAAAGGCCTAAACTCGCCGAACCATAGCATAATGCAGGCCTAGGGCCAGCTAAGACCTAGCTACATTAGACAGAGGCTTTAGGCCTATTCAGCCAAACCAGCCTAGACCTAGAACTCGCAATACAATATTTTCAGCTACTGTATGGCATTACTCTCATGAATATACTGTAAGTTAGGCCTTTTGCAATTCACAAAAGTTTAATGTTGGAAAGTTTCTGCTTTACATGTTGATTTTGTACCGTTAACATAATTCCACTCTACTTGTACATTACATAGTACTAAAACTATCTACATTTACAGGTGAAAAAACAAACAAAAAACTTACCATATTTTTTTATACAAGTATCAAAGAAAATATACAGATAGAATAAATGGTTCTTAACTGATCAGAGTTGCAAAAGAGTTAACCACGAAAGCACACTTACTCTTCATAAAGATGTCCAGTAATTGCAAACATAATAACGGTGAAAACAACAGCAGAGATATGGTATCCACTGCCAATTAGTGCTGAGAAAAACATCGGATAGGAGGCCGGCCGGAACACATCACCATGAACTTGTTTCCAGCCATACTCATCACCTAAATCCCTTTCCTGTAGGAAGTTTAAAATGAAAATTGGTTGATTTGTGACAAGAATCCAGAAAAAGTTCATATAGTAATGAGACAAATTTGAGAATAAAAGAAATAGGAATATGATTAAGGGTACATCAAAAAAATTATCACTCTTTGAAAAAAAAAAGTGATGAGGGCGGGCATGTTTGTTTTTTTTTAAATTGGAACAATAGGATATTGCTTTTTCTTTCAAAACGATGAGGGAAGGACTGTTTTTATTTGGCAAGAATATTGTAAAAATTGTATAAAAACTGGTTTAACCTTAATGTTTTTAAAGAAAATGGATTTCAAGTCACAAAATTGCATTGTTTTTTTTGTGCTGTTGAAATAAATGAGGTGGCCAAAAAAAAAACAAAAAAAAATTATTCCCGCATCAATATTTCCCAAATTTTTGACGTGGGCAGGAGTGTTAATCCCACAATTTTTTCTATGTGCCCTAAGGTCAACATGGAATTAGGGACAAAAAATAGAAATGGGGGACAAATGTCCACATTTCAATTTGTATGAATCATCAACTATGACAGGCCTCGAATTTTACCGCGGCCATTGCCGACGGTGCCCTCCCAGTTGGCCTTGGTGCCCCTGCAAATGAAGCACGACGACGGCCACTACTTGCCTGCCCTTTTGAAGCCTTGGCCTCGGTGCCCTCACGATGCTTAATATAGATCCTTTGACACATAAAATAAATCTAAGTAATTTAAAACTTGAAAGAAAACACGAAAGCCAAAAACGTAGGTCGCCTAACCTGGCCTAGGCCAGGTTGCAGTGACAGAACATGAGAGAATTTCCATGCGTGTTGATACGAACTGTTTTTGCGGTTACCGTTGTGTGCGCATGCGTCTTACTCTTGCGTTAATCAGCGTTAAGTTATCCACGTGACCAAAGAGAAACATGGCCGATTGGTAACATTTGCGGTAATATAACTTAGATTAAATTTCATAAAATAAACATTATAATATTTACCCACATGGAGTCAAAATAATTATTGTAGGCAAACAGAATAAAAAAACTGGATGAAAATATTTTTTTTTACGAAAAAGCAATACTACCACAAGTTGAAGCAATCTTGATTACGCAATGTGTATTGCGGTAACTATACAGCCATTTTGTTTTGTCGAGTATTTACAAGTTTTCTATTCAACTAGTCGTCTTCGTTGAATAGGATGTTACCGCTGCACAGGTGGGCGTGGTTTAACGAAGAACGACCAGTCGAATACAGCTTTTGTGTAGTTGGAAACATGTGCTTGCTGCACAGCTAACTTTGGGCAATCTTACGTCATCGCAGCTTTCGCCACTAGTTTAGAGTTGTGGCTTCATCTCCGATGATATCGAACTTCTTTAAATTTGACTGTTCTGTACGATCGCCGACCGCCGCAGTATATTCCAACATTGAATCGATAATTAATAGTTAATACTCTAAACAAAGACATATTACCATTGACAACTATGGCTTGGCTAGGCCTAGCTTGACTTAGGCAGGCCTAGCTTGGCTTGGCCTAGGCCTAGCTTGGCTTGGCCTAGCTTCCCTAGCCTGGCTACGACGAATCAAGGCACTCGCAAGAAATTAGTACTTAGGCTAAATCAAATTTTGCCTTGGGTGTTCTTTTATACTTGAAATTTTGGCCTTGGTGAATTTCCATTTGGCCTTGGTGAATTTCCATTTGGCCTTGGTGCCTTTCAAAATCATGTCATACCGGAGGCCATGCCCATAAAATCCCCAAATTCGAGGCCTGCTATGAACAAGTTATATGAACAAAAGTTTAAAGCATTTAAAATAATTGACAGGGATGTCACCAGCTTTTTGGAGTGCCGGTCGGCGATCATTCCGCGTTTTCCCGGGGGTGGGGTTCCAACCCCCCCATTTTCTGGGGGGGGGGTTTGCCGCATTCGTGAAAGCTCTTACAAAACCAAACGGCCTAAGTAAGTCGAGGAGTAGTGCCAAAGTGCGAGCCAGCGAGTCATGCGAGCCCTGTCTCTTATACACATCTAGATGTGTATAAGAGACAGGAGTAGAAGTGTAAACAATCCGAGTCTAATCTATTGGGCATTTTTATGAGGGTTGTTCCGTTGTATTGGAATAAAAA